GAAAATTATTTATAGACTAATTTTGTGAGTTGTTGGGTGTTCTCTAAGAGCATCCAGCTTAGCAGAACAAATTTCGGACCATCTCGGGGTTGGGGTGGGGCACACTACGGAAATCTGCAAAATAATCTCGCAAGGTGGGTATCATTAGCTACATCTGGCAAATGATGAAACTGAGGCTCAGAGAGAGACCCCAAAAGCTAGCGTGGGACAGCGCTGGGCCCGGAGCCCAGGTCTGGCCGCCTGCACACCTCCTGGCTCCTTGCACCGGCCCATCCTGCCTCCCTGTCTTCAGGCAGAGAAGCAGGCAGAGCGGCCCCCAAAACTTGATGCCCAGGAGGTACAGTCACAGAGATGCCTGAGCTCCCGCGAGCCGGAGCGGCGGCTTCTCAGTGCTCAGAAGGAAGAAAACACTCCGTGATGTTAAGCGGTCACTCTGAGCTATGGAGCTCTGGGTGTTTTCTGTTTTGTCTTGTTATTCTTGCCCATAGTTCCCAAGGGTCATACGATGAGCTGCTTTTACTTTTCTATTTAAAAAAAAAAAGGTGGTTTAAACATCTCGCTTGAGCACCAGAGCTGGCCACTAGTGACAGGGTAGGACTGGCCCCCAGAGACAGAGATGCGGGTTTCGGTCCTTTCTGTGCAGTATGGCCTCCAGGTTGTTGGGAGCGTAAGACAAAATTATGAAAGTTGAAGCTCTGTAATGAGAACGCTGTGGGCGGAGGAGGATGGCCGCGGCTGCCGACTCTGTTTGGTGTATGGTGGAGCCGGGCGCTGGTAACATTCTCTGAACTTTGGTTTCTGTTCAGAGTGACCGTTAAAAGTCAACAAAGTGCAAGTTGCCAGGGCGTTTCATTGTGTTCCTTGACAGATGGTTCCCGCCGGAGCCTGGGGCGGTGCTGGAAACTCCAGCTTTCCCTCAGCCGCTGCGTTGCCTTGGGCAAGTCACAGACCTGCCAGGCCTTCCTATTTTTTTAACAAGGACTTTATTGTTTTCAGGCCTTGCTTTTCTTTAGAAAGTGGGGATAATAACACTTTCGAGATTATCGTGGGGATAGAAACATGACTCCTTAGAACGGAATGCACCGCAGACCCTTCCGGCAGCCTGGGGGAGCCTGGGGGAGCCTGGAGGAGCCTGGGGGAGCCGTCTCGGATGCTGTTTTTAAATACCTTGAACGTAAAATACACAGGATTACAGGGGAAACCAATTCTCTTGAACGGTAGCTGTGCTTTTGGTATCAGTGCACCAAAAACAAGCCCTACCAGTGGGTCTAATGCAACTACCATCATTTCAAAGTGGCGATGAACGCGAACACTGTTTTGCTATGTCCGCAGCAGCTGAAATGCGACCGGGAAAGCGGCGATTTCTGGCGCCGACACTGCTGAGCTGCATCGTCTGCGTTCATTCGCGATTGAAAGGAAGGCTAAATGTCAGTTAGCGGTCAGTGAAAAACACTCGTAAATGCTTTCCCATCCAAGTTCATGGGCCCCCGAATTCTCTCCGTGGGCCCCAGGTTCAAACCCCTGCCATAGAAGGTGGTTGAAACCCGGTAGGTGATCTCCAGGAATGAATGGGGACCTTTCCCCACCTGGGAGCAGAGGGGCCTCAGGGGACAGGCAGGGCACATGAGGGCTGTGGGGAAGGGATCAGTGCAGACCCGGAACACTGTCCATTGAGTTTGGGGACAGTAAAATCAAACCTTTCCTGGTCTCTGAGTAAGCCATTGGGGGCTGGTGAGTCAGAAGTGCCAGGAATCTTTGCAGATGACGTAACTTCAGGTAACGTTTGTGTCTGGCGGGTCTGCAGTCTACAGAGACTGCTGCTCTTTCATGAAACCTGGGGCAGGTGAGTGCCAGGTGTGCGATGAGGCTGGAGGCATTCTGTGGGAGTGGGGTGGGGAGGAGCCCCATTGGATTGGGAGGTAAGTGGGTGAGCTCCAGAGTCCAACTGCCCGGGTCCCAATGCCAGCTCCCTTACTAACTCTGGCAGGTTACTTCACCAACTTGTGCCTTGGTTTCCTCACCTGTAAAATGAGGGTGGTAATAGTACTTTCTTACGGGATGTTGTGAAGATTGAGTATTATATATAAAGCTCCTAGAACAGTAACTAATAGGAGAAAATGCTTAATAAACGAGGACTGAAATCAGCTTGTACACTGTTATTCTAGGATTCGTGAGGCTCCGCTTCCTCAGAATAGGTTCCTGAGCCCAGCTTCTCTGTGCTGGCCGGAGGTGAATCAGATGCAGCTTCTGCCTTCAAGGAGCTCATAGTTGAGGGAGAGATGGGACATAAGCACCTACCTTCAGTTAACTAGGATAAGTGCAGGGACTGTGTGTGCTGAGCTTGGGTGCTGCGCTAGAGTGGGGTTTGGGGAAGAGCAGGCTTCCTGAGAGAGGAGCCACCCCGCTGAGCTTTCCGGAAGCACCGGGCACTGACCAGTGGGGAGGAAGCAGGGGCGCGAAAGTTGTCCCACTCAGAGCGGGCAGCTTGAACGGGAAGCCGATGGTCTGACATTGCCAGAGAGTAACAGTCCAGGCTGGGCCTTGGGGCTGGAGGGGAGGCCATTCCCTGCGGGGCTCCGCGCCTGAGATGAGCAGCCTGGCATCTGTCCTCCTGGTAGTGGATGTCATGGAAGGTTTTGTTTACTTTACTCACAGGAAGTTGCAAAATACAGTACAGAGTTCCCTTCACTCAGCTTCCCCTGATGGTGACATGTCGTCATTGTATCTTGTCAAAACCAGAAAATTGGTATTGGTGCATTAGTAGACTACAGAGTTAATCCGGATTTCAGCTTTTTTAAACAAACAAACAAACAAACCTGCATTCATTTGCGTGTGTGCAGTCGTCATTGTATCTTGTCAAAACCAGAAAATTGGTTTTTAAACAAAAAAACAAACAAACCTGCATTCATTTGCGTGTGTGCGCATGCACACCCAGAAGGGTTTTGAGCAGGGGAGTGACACGTGTGTTAGACAGATATCCTTGACTGCATGGCACCAGACTGGAGGGGGCTCAATGAAGGCTGTTGGCAAGAGATGAGGAGGGCATCAGAGGTTGCCGTGGTTGTGGAGGTGGTGGGAGGAGCTGCAGAGAGGAGAAATATTTCGGGGGTAAAGGTGGAAAGAGTTGGAGACTGAGAACAGGATGGCAGTGGGAGCCATGACTAGAGTTGGGGATGAGAGGGGGCAGGTTTAGGGAGAAGCTGCTGAGTTAAGTTTGACACATGTTGAGTTGGAGGAGCACCCAACCAAGCTGGGGCTGGGCACCAGCGAGCACCGTCTGGACACGGCGGCATCCGAGCTGGGTCTTAAAGGATGACTAGGAGGTGGCCTAGGGTTAGGAAAGGCGGGGAGGTCATAAGCAGCCTGGGTGTTGGACGTCCAGATTGCACGGCTCCGAAGGTGAATCTGAAATATTGGGGAGGGGGTGAGCCTGGTGGGAGGGATGGATTTGTGAGTCATTGACATGACTCACGAGATCATGAAATGCAAGAGCTCATCTGGGGAGATGGTGTGGAGTGAGGAGAGCAGAAGCATTGTCCCTGAAATGGAAGCGCGGGCACGTTGGTCTTGAGACCTGGGCAGAGGAGGAGGACCCCCAAACAGATGGAGTGGGAACCATCAGAGAGGCGCGAGGACCCGGCAGGTGCCGCCAGAGTCCCAGAAAAGGCGAGTGAAAAACTGTCCCTCTACGGGATTCAGCACCCAGCAGGTCTCTGGTATGGGGGGAACCCTTGGCAAGCACCAGAGGTGGAGCGGGAGTGGGGTGGCCGTGAGCGGCGGAGTGGAGCGCAAGGCGAAGATGTGGAGACAGTGGAGACAGTCCTTTCACGAAACGTGACCAAGAAAGGGAGAGGAGAGGTCATGCGGGGGTCAGAAGGGGATTCGGGATCGGGGAGGGAATCGCTTTGGGGGTCAGGGAGACTTGAGCCCAATGACAGGCTGAGGGGTCGGGCGGTCGGGTCTGATTGTTTCACGGGCGACAGTAAGCGCGGTGGTGACGTGTGTGGGCTCTGGGGCGAGGCTGCCGGGGTTTGCATCCCAGCTCCGCCATGTACCAGCCGTGTGACCTTGGGCAAGTCTCTTAACTCTTCTGTGCCTCCCTTTCCTCTGCAAAACGGGAATGATAGCAGTCCCTCCCTCACAGGGTTGTGCGGGAGCTAAGGGTTACGGAAGGTATTACATGTAAAGCCATCGTGACAGCCCCTGGCACATGGTAACCACTCGGCAAACGTTAATGTCGTTACCTAATTATTAATGTCTCTCAGTGTCAGTTATTCTCATTTCCTTATTCAACATTTATTCATTCTTGTCTATATAAAGTCTGAGTTGGATTAGTTGATATTCATTCATCTATTTCTTTTACTACCATTTATGGAGATGGTGCATGTAGGGCTCAGTGGAGAGGCTGCCGGGGGCGTACAAGGAGGGTGGCCCCAGTTTAAATCCTGCCTCAGCTGCATGCCAGATCATGGTGGGGGCTCCCTGAGCCTCAGCTACTTCCCGGTACAATGGGGACAGAATGACACCTCCTTCACTGTGCTGTTGGGAGATTCAATAAGACCCTTATGGAGAGTACCTGGCACAGTACGTAGTGCTACATTAAGGTATAATCATTGGCACCATTCCACATTTCCTACGTCTCTTCTCCCCAGATTGAGTTTGATTGTAAAACAAGATTTTTCCCTTGAATCCGAGCGTGTCCTGTGCGGCACTGCAGCCCAAGCCATGTGTGGAAAATGGCAGGTGGCCTCCATGCAGCCCCTTGCCCATCGAGGGCACCCGTACGGACTCAGAGTTCCGTGGGACGTGGGCGTGAGGGCAGGAGCTGTGTGCCCTGGTTCAGACGGTCTTTGGAGACCCTGAGACAGGTCACCACCCTCAGTGACTCCCCTCTGCACCTGTGAAATGGGATGAGCGTGGACGTGAGAGAGAGTGCACAGTTGGGGAGCAGACGGCCAGTGGCCCCGGCTGACTGACCGATGCACGGTTCTCTTCCCCAGAGACTGATGGAGAGGCAGAGACGGAAGGCCGACATCGAGAAGGGGCTGCAGTTCATTCAGTGAGTATGCGCCAGGGCAGGCCGGGCCCTCTCCTGCCCTTTCTCTTGCTCCCTGAGCCTTTGCTGGTCAGGCTCCTGTGTGTGTTGGGCAGGGCAGAGGTGGGATGTGCTAGGAAGGGGCCGGCATGCAGGAATCCAGGGGGGTGGATCTGTGAACCCCGTGTGTGAGCCATGAACCCCACACGCACACACTCTGCCTGACCCTGGTTACCCTTCGGTCTTGTCTGGTGTATGATTTTATCCTCCCCGCCCATAGATGCTCGTTAGTTCTCTTGCTTGCCTGTGTGCATCTTGTCGTCAGTCCATCGTCCTTGCTCGGTGAACACGCCTTTCAGACTCTTTGCTGGGCCCTTCACGCCATCATCTTTTTAATCTTCACAACAGCCCAGCACAGTAGGTGGTCTTACCTGTACTCTGCAGACCTGAAGGCTGAGGTTCAGATAAGGAACGCATTCAAGGTCACACAGCTGTTACGTGATGGGATTCTCACCCCAGTCTGGCTGACTCCAAAACCACATTCCTTTCCTTTACATGCTCCCCAAAACCCACAGGCCATGTTTTTATTTATTTATTTATTTTTCTTGACACACGAAATATTTGTACTACCTTTTTCAAAAAAACCTTCCTTAAGTAGATCCTCACGGACCTGTTCAACACGACGTGAATGAAGTGTCAGCTTTGGGGCCCTTCCCTCGCACAGGTCCCTTCTGCTGTCCTGGAAGGCTCCCTAGCAAGTCCACGTTCTTTTCCTTAAATGGGACTCCCCGTAAAACTGGGACTTGCACCCGCATTCCCCCATGGAAATGCCCCAATTCGGTCGTCTCACTTAGACCTGTAAAAGGCGACCTGCCTCATCACCACACGCTGGGTCCCTTTTCACACATGGTGTCCGCATGGCTCTCACAGAACCCGTGTTCATGTTGAGACAATACACTCTCTCCTTCGTCAGCGGCCGCCGTTCCCGGCCCAGGCCTGGCGGGCAGAGCTGTGGCCCGCTATTCTCTCTTCATGGCGGCCTGTCTTCTTCCATTCGTGGACGCCCTCCGCTGGGGGAAGTGCTCAGAGTTTATTCAGAGGCCAGCCTGGTGAACAGGGTGAACCCTGAGAACACTGTCTTGCGAGAATTCTGGCTTCAGCCGAACTCACCGATCCTGTGGCGCTGGCCCCCTGAGCCTGTACCCTGCCTCCCCTGCTTCCCGGGCAGTCTCCGTGCCCGCGAAACGCAGGCGGTGCCCTGTGCCTGACAGGTCGTCGTGCTGGGGGTAAATGGTAGCTGTGTCCCCCTCCTCCTTTCCGCAGGGGAATTGTGAGCTTTAGCAATAGGACAGCCTCTGGGGACCCGTATGTTGGCCTCCTAAGGGACCGCTGCGCAGGAGAACACAGTAGGACCTGCTCCTTGTAAAATGACTGTTTTCCCACGTACAGGCTTTGTGTGCTTAGCAAACATTTAGTAGGCACCTCTGGGCACAGAGCACTGTCGGAGCCATAAAGTGATTTGGACAGGTGGGTCGGCGCTGGCTCGTGGAGGGCCTTAAACCCCAGGATGAGGTGACCTCTAGGGCAGGGCGTGACCTGGTGAAAAGGAGGCCGATGCTGGCAGGGAGAGGCTGGAGATGGGACATCAGTTAGGAGGACAGCGATGGCAGCCTGGGCTGGGGCAGAATGGGGAGGAGGGATGGGCCCCGGTCTCTGACGGTGGGGAGGCCAGCAAGAGTGTGGGATCAGGAGCCCTGCTGTCGCCATCGGGGACACCTCCTACCTGGCCTGTCCTCTCACCGCTTCTCACTCACTCTCCTGGGCAGCTCTTTCTGCCCAGGTGTTGGCGGCAGCTCTGGGCAGTGGAAGGAGCTCCGGCCCTGCACTGTGGCCCTGGCTCTAGTGCTGACTTGCTGTGTGATCTTGGGCAAGTCACTGCCCCTCTCTGAGTATCTGTTTTCCCCTCTGTGACATGAGGGACCAGGAGACAAACCCTGGCTTCCTTTCCAGCTCAGCCGTTCAGCCTGACAGATGTGCCTCAGTTCCGCTGGGCTGACACTTTCCTCAGCTGGCGTTTCTTTGGCCACAGGGGAGGATTGGATGCCCAAGACCCCATCTACTTCGTTGAGTCTGGCGTGAGGGGGCTTCAGGCTCTGAGTGCGTACTCGGCGCCTGGCATCAGTTGGGGCCATGTGTGTTTTGTGGGCAGGGACAGGAGGAGACCTGAAGTGAACCTTCGGTGCGGTCTGTGGGCCTGCAGTTGCAGGTTTGGTTTGGTTTGGCGAGGAGTGGTTATTCCCGGAGGACAGCTGACGAGCTGGAGCCGGGGCCGGGCCCCTCTCTCTTAGCACCTGCTCCAGAGAAAGCCGGGCTGCCAGGCCCTGGGTCAAACGCAAGGCTTTCCTTCATCAGAAATGGAAGGCCAGATGGTGTTGATTTAGGGAGAAAGGACTGCTGTCTGCCCCCTCACCCCAATCCACAAGGTGACATCTGAAGTCTGAGCTGGAGGTGTCCACTGCAAATATGACCTCTGGCCTGCAGCTCTGGCTCCTGGGCCTCCATGTGGCTGGCACCCCTGGGCTTACCCAGGCCTCACGTCCCTCTCTTCCTGCTAGGTCGACACTACCCCTAAAGCAAGAAGAATATGAGGTGAGTGTCAGCTGTCAGGCTGGGGGAAGGAGAAGGGCAGGGGTGTCCAGGAGAGGCAGGGATGGGGTCCCGGTGCTAGGGCCGGGGCTGGATGGAGAAGGCCCCCTGAGCTCCCTCTGCGCCCTGCCCCCACAGGCCTTTCTGCTCAAGCTGGTGCAGAACCTGTTTGCCGAGGGCAATGACCTGTTCCGGGAGAAGGACTCCAAGCAGGCCCTGGTGCAGTACATGGAGGGGCTGAACGTGGCCGACTACGCCGCCTCCGACCAGGTGTCCCTGCCCCAGGAGCTGCTGTGCAAGCTACATGTCAACAGGGCCGCCTGCTACTTCACCATGGTGAGCTTTGCACCCTGCCTTCCTCCCCCACCCCAGTCACCGCTTTGCCCAGATGCCTAGCCGAGCTAGGCCCACACCCTGAGGAGCCTCTGCAAGGCTGGGTCTTCCACGTCGTCCTATCTGAGTCTCACCGTCTATACCCTTGGCTGTCAACTCTGCTGTACAACCGATTCACCCTGAGAGCTTTTGAAGTACTAATACATGATAAAAGAATTTTTTTTAAGTAAGACTTGTGCCTAAGTCCTACCCCAGATAGATTCAGTTAGAATCTCGGGGTGGCCTGGCCGTTGGCAGGAGTCCGTGGGCAGTCAGGGTTGAGGACCGCTACTCTCATCAGGCGGCCTCTTGCCGCAAACCTCCAGCCTCCCTCGCTCCTTCCTCCTGGGCTCCTCCCCTCCCGTCACACCTCACTTTCTCCACACTTCCAGTCTCCTCTCCTCCTCAGGGCTCCGGCCCGCCCCTCTTCCCTGCCCTGCTCGCTCCTTGACTCAGTCACCCGCCAGATCCTGTGGGAGACTGTGCTGTGGGCTCTGTAGAGGCTCCGTAGAGGCTCCAGTGACACCTCTGCAGCCCACAGTGGATGTTCCGGATACGTGAGCCTACCAGATGCCGGCTCCCACCGTGTTCTGTACGCGGGCTGCCTTCACGATTTCGCTTCCTCTTGGAGGTGCCTATATCACTCTCAGTCCGTGGTGTCCTGAACTGAAGACAGCTATGAAATAGACGTGTCTGGGTGACCAGGCTCATCACTGTAGAATGTGAAGGCCCCTCCCCTTCAGTGACCTGCTGGGGTCCATTGGCAGCCCCTTTAGCTGGACACACAGATGCCCTTGACCAGAGTGTGAACGCCAGAGCTGTTTTCTGGAGCCCGGGAGCCCCCTCCCTGAGCCTGGTCCTCCCTCATCTTCCACCTCTGCAGGGAAGGGTGGCTGGTCTTCAGTGGGACGGGGTAGGGACAGGATGCCTGGGGGAGGGCGGGTAACAGGTGCTGACCACCAGGCCACCTGTTCCTCTCTGGCAGGGCCTGTATGAGAAGGCGCTGGAGGACAGCGAGAAGGCGCTGAGCCTGGACGGCGAGAACATCCGGGCGCTGTTCCGCAAGGCACGTGCCCTCAACGAGCTGGGGCGCCACAAGGAGGCGTATGAGTGCAGCAGCCGCTGCTCCCTCGCCCTGCCCCACGTGAGTGCGGCCCGCCCTGTCCACCTGTTCCTCTCTGGCAGGGCCTGTATGAGAAGGCGCTGGAGGACAGCGAGAAGGCGCTGAGCCTGGACGGCGAGAACATCCGGGCGCTGTTCCGCAAGGCACGTGCCCTCAACGAGCTGGGGCGCCACAAGGAGGCGTATGAGTGCAGCAGCCGCTGCTCCCTCGCCCTGCCCCACGTGAGTGCGGCCCTGCGTCCACGCGGGGGCGGGGTCAGGCTCCCGCCTCTGTGCCCGCCCACACTTGGGCCAAGCTACCACATCTTTCTGAATCTCGGCTTCCTCCTCTGTGACATGCAGTTGCAGATACTGACTTACCACTAAGCTCTCATTGTGTGCCAGGCATCGCTAAAGATACACTATGTGAACTCACCTGCAACAACCCTCTGAGGCAGCTACAATTACCCTTTTGAAGATGACAGAGGAAAGGAACTTTTCCCCACATCACAGCTAGGGGGCGACAGAGCTAAGATTTGAACCCAGGCGGTATGATTCTAGAACCCGCACAATCAGCCTCAACACTGAGTGCCAGGTTGCAGTGAGGACTAAGAGGGGTGCCACATGCATGGGGTCCTGATATCCAGGCTGTCATTTGGGGAAGAGATGATGGGACATGACAAATAGCTTGCTTAGGCCACTCACAGCTGGACGTACCCCCCAGCCCCACACGTATTCATCTGTTTAACAAGTATTTACTGAGTGCCCATGCAGTGATCTGTACCTTTCAGGGAGTCATAGTCTCCTCACTAGGAGGTAAATGGAAACAGTCTTGGGGGCTCGGCCCGGCTCCACCATAGACCTTGGACAAAGCACTTCCCTTCTCTGCACATGAGCTTCATATCTACGAAGTGCCCATCCTTCTTTACCCCTGAAATAATGAGTGTGAAAAGGCTTGGGGACAGGTAGTTGCTGCCCAGGGAGGGATGAGAGCCCTCGAGAGTGGTCAAGATCCCAGAGGACTCCCTGGAGGAGGTGGGGCTCAAGTAGGAACTCATGTGCACGATGATCAAGGACGCCGGTGCCAGAGAGTTGGCCTGGGTTTGGGTCCTAATCTTGGGATTGCCATCTACCAGCTGTGTGACCTTGGACACAAGGCTTAGCCTCTCTGAGCCTTGGTTTAGACCCTGTGAAGTGGGAGTGATAATATACTGTCACCATAGGGCTGACAAGGCAGGTGGCACGGTGGCCAGACACAGTGTTCAGAACACATTCACTGTTATTCTGCTTTTTATTATTCTTTCTTCCCCAACTCAGCTTAGTTCCCCATGAGAACCTTTCTTGTGATAATTGTCCTCGATCTGAACTGCGTTTTCTGGCATTCACGGCAGGTCCACGTCCTGCCGTCATGGCTCCCTACTCCGGGGAGGGCAGGCGGACTTACCCCACCGGACCACCCAGTGAGGGCTGGTGACTTGCTTGAGGAAAGTACCCAGACAAGGACTTCGGACCTAAGGGGGAGATTCCCCGGTTTTCCAGTCGTTGTGGGCAAATACCGAGCCCTGCTCTGTGCTGGGCACCGGGGCCATAGATGACCCAGGCCCTGGCGCTGGGCTCCAGGAGCTCGTCAGTGAGGTGGACAAGTGCACAGGATGTCCCACCATCCCTGTTGCCCTTTGCGACCCAGACCACAGTCCCCGTTTCTTTGTTTATTAATTGGTCTCTCCCACACGACTGGCGCCTCCACAAGACCTGGGCCCTGTGACGGTGGTGTTGCTGGCCCCTCGCTTGTGTCCGGCACATGGTACGAGTGCAGTAATATGGACTTGGAGCAAGGAAGGCATGCTGGGTGCTGTTACTGAGCTCTAACCGTGGGCCAGGCACATTCTAACATGTCCTCCTCCTTTGGGCCTGTGCATAATCCCTGACTCGCAGAGAATTATAAGATATTGTTTGATGAAAGAAGCAAGTTGAAGAAAAACAGGTATAATATGATCCCAGTTCTGTAAAAAAAAAAAAAGAAGGAAAACTCTCCGCAGAGCAAAACTAAACATCCGTTATAGGTCCAGATGCACGTCTTTAAATTCCTA